ACAAACTGTATCTTGTAGGGTTAGTTTAGGATTTGAGTTTTAAAATTAGTAGTTAAAAAAAGAATTTTTTTAATTGTATTAAATTAAAGAAAACTACATTTTTAAAATTTTTGAGGAATGACTAATTTTAATACATTATGGTAAACATTTACCCAAAAGTATGTTGTTTGAATTAGAAAGAAAATATGAGAAGCCCCACCATTGAAAACATTCCATCTACACTTGATATGAAAATTTTTGCTTTTGAGTATTAATAGAGTAACCCTCTCTTTTTCTTCCTTGTGATCATTACTCCTTTAACAAGAAAAATGAAAATTCTTCTCAAATCTTTAGAACGTAGAAACTTTCTCAATTTTTCTTTGGAATTTTTTTAAGAATATAAGTTAAATTTCATTAAAAGTGGTGTTTGTATTTAATTTTATACAAATTTTTATGTTAGATTCAATTAAAATAAAATATAAAATTAAAATACAATATACTATTTGTTTTTCAAATTTATAAAAGGTATGAATTTAATTTAAAAATTTATATAAAATTAATTACAAATACTATAACTTATTATATGTACCTTTAAGATACATATTAAATAAATTATTTTTCTTTGTTAGGACCTTTTGTAATTTTCTTTCACAAAAGTGAAGTACTAACAGCTAATCAAACAAAAAAGAAAAAGGGATATATTTGCCGCTCTACTTTAAGTAATTATAAAATGAATCCCTGTATTTTTTTTAAATATATCTCTCCTTGTACTTTCAAATTAAATAAAATTAACCTTTTTACATCTTAGTAGAAATAAATTAACTAAAATTTAATGGATGGTTTAATTATATATTGGAAAAGTGGGTATCAATTTGTATTGTAAAAAATTAGATGAAAAAATATCTTAGAACTATGGTATTTTAATAAAGTTTATTGAATAAATTAAAATATCTTAATTATTTTTAAAATAGGACTTAGTTTTATAGTATTTTTTTACTTAATTTTTTACAAATTAATTCTAATTGATAAACGTTAATTTCATTTTATATTATCATTTCGTATTTTCCCTCATTACCTGACAAGCTTTTGTTAATTTGACAATCTTTGACATATTTTTTGATGATAGGAATTTTTTTTACAGGGAGTCAAATGTGATTGGTTAATTTTTTCTTGATAGCCAACTTAACACTATAAAAAAATTTGTTTTATTTTATTTTTGGTTTTAATTTATTTATTTAATCAAATGAGGGAAAAGAGAGGAGAGAGATATTTTATTTTTCTGTTCCTCTCCTTTCTTCTTCCTTTTATTCCTTTTAATTCACACATACTATTACAACGTTTAAATTTAATTATCTACTTTTTATATTATATTTAATATGTTTATTTTAATTTTATTCTCATTTTAAAAGATAATTATAACATAATTTAAATAAAAAATTTTATTTAACTAATATTTAATGAAAAATAAATATAAATTTTATTAATAAATTATTATAATTTTATTTTATTACATAATGGTAGAATAATATGTTAATAGACTTTTGGCCCACACGGAAAAGGCTCAAAGACTTTCTTCCAATTTTTTTTTCTTAAAAGACTTTCCGCCAAAGAAAACCCTCTTTTTAAAAAACAATGATAAACAGTTGCAGTACTGTTTTATTCTTTTTTTTTTTTTGGAACATGGAGAATTTTGGGGGAAGGGGGAGCAGTCCTATTTTGAATTATTTTGGCTGAACCCCATGGTATGCGTTGATCCATGTCAAAAAGGTTGAGGACGTTTGAAGGAAATTACTAACAGTTATGACGTTTATTGCAGTGTCTCAAAATGTGGTTAAGAACAAAGTTGTCCCGTAACAAAGAGGTTGAGGACGTACGAAGGAATTTATTGAAGGTTGACCATTTTAGTCGCCGATGGCTCGGAATGTAATTAGTTGGTATGTAAATTGTGCACATCGCTAAGCTCTCACCAAGCATTTCCTTTCTCCAAGCTATTCAAGTGAAAATGGCTGAACTAGTCTTGAGCCCTATCATCGACTTCACAATATCCAGAGTGATTTCAGCTGCTATGGAGCAAATCAACCTTGCAGTTACGTGGAAGTTGGAACTCAAAAAACTTTGCAGCAAGTTAACCATGATCCGAGCTGTGTTGCAAGATGCGGAGGACAGGGGACTCCTCAGCAGCCCGCCGGTGAAGATTTGGCTTGGGAAGCTCAGAGATGTGGCTCGTGAGGCAGAGGACGTCGTGGATGAGGTAGCATATGAAAGGCTAAGACGAGAGGTGGAATTTGAAAACCAATTGAAGAAGGTCTGTTGTTTCTTCTTTACTCTGTCTAATCCCTTGGTGTTTCGTCTCAAGATGAATAATAAGATTAACAATCTTATTACATCTATAGTTGAGATAAATGATGAGGCTACTCAGTTTGGACTTCAGTCTAGACTTGCTGGCCACATGCTTGAATCTAGAAGCAACCCTACGACAACCTACTCTTGTCTTGGTTATTGTTCGGAAGTCATAGGGAGAAAGGATGATGTCTCAAAGATAGTTGACTTGTTAATTAACTCCAGCAATAAGCAACCTCTTTCTGTCATATCGATATGGGGTATGGGAGGTCTTGGTAAAACTACTTTAGTAAAATCAGTACTAAAAGATGAGAAAATAAGCAAGCATTTTGGTAAAATAATGTTTGTTTGTGTGTCGGAAGATTTTGATGTTAAAAGGATCCTAAAAGAGATATTTGAGTCTCTTACCCAAATGAGTTGTTCAATTGAAAATTTAAGCACCCTTGTCGAGACAATAAGAGGGAAGCTGGAGAATGAAAACTACCTTCTCATCTTAGATGATGTATGGAATGAGGATAGCTTGAAGTGGGAAGCTTTAAGGGGTTGTTTGTTAGAAATAAATAAAAATAGAGGGAGTAGGATGGTTGTAACAACTAGAAGTGAAAAGGTGGCATTGACAATGGGAACAGTAGATGAACACATGTATCATCTCAAAGGACTAAAGCATGAAGAGTGTTGGTCTATAATGGAGCAGAGAGCATTTGGAGATTCTTTAGTGCCTAATCCAGAGTTAGAGGGAATTGGAAGACAAATTGCTAAAAAATGTGGAGGTGTGCCATTAGTTGCCAATGTTATAGGCGCAGCTATGGGCAACAAAAAGGATAGATGTGAGTGGTTGTCAATTAAAAATTTAGATGCATGGGATTCACTAAAAGATGATAGAGAGGTTGGGATTCAACGCATTTTACAATTAAGTTTTGATCGCTTGCCTAGCTCAACTTTGAAGCAATGTTTTGCATTTTGTTCCATTTTACCCAAGGATTACCCAATCCAAAAGGAGGTATTAATTCAACTTTGGATGGCTGAAGGGTATCTTCAACCACCAGAAGGAAGCTCAATGGTGACAGAGGATATAGGTAACAAGTGTTTCAATGACTTGTTATCATATTCCTTGATTGAAGAAGAGAGAGATTCACATGGCAACATTTACAAAATGCATGATTTAATTCATGATCTTGCCATGCACAATTCAAAATCTGAAACACTTATTTTCAAAGCTAGTTCTGAGAGGAATATTGCTCATGTTCAACATCTAAATCTGGTTGACAGTGGAGAAAGGATGCCAACAAATTTTGAAGAGGTGGCTAAAAAACTACATTCCTTGTTTTGTGAGGCAGATAATTTCAGCAAGATGTCAGAGAGCTTCAAAAGGTTACACATTCTTAAATTATGGGGTGCTGATAAATTGCATCAATTACCAGTTTCAGTTGGCAAAATGAAGCATTTGAGGTTTTTGGACATTTCTGGAGCTAATATCAAAGAAGTGCCCCAATTCATTATGAAGCTATATAATTTGCAGACATTTAGATTCATGAATTGTCATTCAATTGAAGAGCAACCAAAAGGAGTGGAAAACTTAGTCAATTTGAAGCACATTTATTTCAATAATGAAAAGTGTATGCCAGTGGGAATTGGTAGACTAACTAATCTTCAAACCTTGGGGTTATTTGTTGTGGGTCAACAAGGAGGAAATCAAATTGAGGAATTGGGAAGCTTAAGCAGACTCAAAGGTGAGCTATGGATATCTCATCTGGAGCACGTTGAGAACTACTCAGAATCCAGTAAAGCAAAACTATGTGAAAAGATAGGTGTTGACAAGTTGAAGCTGGAATGGAAATGGGGGCGCAACATCATGGAATCCAAAATTGATGAAACTGTGTTAGAAGGCCTCCAACCTTATTCAAGCCTGAGAAGCTTTATTGTTAAGGGTTATGGAGGTGAAAAATGTCCATCATGGATGAATTGTAGTTTGGGTGAATCCTTTTTCCTCAACAATTTGGTGGAGCTGAACCTAGAATTTTGTGACCAGTTAAAATGCATTCCAAACATGAGCGGGTTTTCAGCTCTTCAGCAATTTAATATTATAAGATGCAAGGAGTTAACTAGTGTAGGGGATGAAGCATTTGTTCTTCCGATATCCCTCAGACAATTACTGGTTAGCTATTGTCCAAGACTGGAGACAATAGGTGATAGTCTTTGTACTCTCACATGCTTGGAAGACTTGGAGCTAAATGGGTGTGAAAATCTACGACCCATTCCTAGTGTAAATGGGCTTTCCTCTCTCAAAAAATTAAGTATTGTTGATTGCGATGGGTTGGTCTATCTGCCAATTGGACTGTCATCTTGCACTGCTCTAAAAGTGTTGTGGATATCTAATTGTCGTAATCTAATCAGCATCTCAGAAGACTTGAAGAAATTGCATTCTCTTGTTGTGTTACGCATTCACGACTGCAAAAATTTGAGGAGCATCCCAGAGGAGAATCTCCCTTCTAACATTGGAGTTGATTGGGTGGGAAAGACCAACATATACAACACCTCAAGTTCAACAGCTCAATGCTCTATGAGATCTGACAATTAAGTTGGGAACTGCATCCATTTGCCAAGGCATTGAGGTTTTTCAAGGTAGATGTAATTTCACAACTCTCATCTCTTCTTTATCTATAAAATGGTTTCAAATTACTTGATATTTAAAAAAAGAGATAGCTGTGCAGATTATATATTTTATAATTATTAATTATCAATAATTATAATGTGCGCAATCCACATACTTATTTTTGTAAAAAAATGATTTATCATTATCAAATTTTCTAGTCTTACCTTATTAACCAGTAAATGTAGAGACATTAAAGTATAAAAATATGTAGTATGTTGAAAGCACTTATGGCCCTAGATGGGTTGACAATGTGCACTAAAAACTTTGGCTCATTTCAAGGTTCAAGTGCCTATGGGACATTTGTATGATTTTCCAATTCCCCTCCAGAAGTAACTCTTCTTTGTTTATTAAAAAAAAAAAAGAAAAAAGAAAAAAGAAAAAGAAAAACGAAAAGAAAGAAAGAAAGAAATTAAGAAGATGTAGTATGCTGAAAATTTCAAAGTACTTCTATTACTGATTCTTTCTTATACCTCTAGCAATTTCTTAAAAAACTAATTTGTTTTGAAAAGGGAGAATGGAAAATGAAACTGCGATTCACCAAATAAATATCCATTCTAATACAAAATAGCAGATACGGAATAGCTTTTGAACTTTCATGAAAGTTATATTTGTGTAAAATTAATTCTGAGCTTAAATATTCTCTAAAATTAATATGCTTTTCTTATTCCTCTACTTGTGACTTGACTTATCAAGGTAAATTCATTATTGTAGTTTGTTTTTTCGATCTTCTGATTATTATATTTCTCTTTCTTCAGCACCAGCTGCATTTATGTTGATTTCAGTTCAGAAGGTCCCCTAGTTGAGTTTCACAGCCTCATTTCAAACTGTCCAATTATTGCAAACTGCATTCCTTCAAAATGAGAGTTCTAGGTATGTCAGAGCATAAAATTAACTTCAATTTTTGCTGATTCAATAGACCTTGTAATAGGTTTTTTTTCATAGAGTTTCGTTTGGAGAACAATATAAACAATGCAAGCAATGACCACTACTGGCTTGGCTTTATGTCATTTCAATGTAACAATTCTAATGGCCAGTGGCGGAGGCAGGGGGGTGCGAGGGGCGGCGCTCGCCCCCCCTGAAATTTGAAAAATTTACAAATTAGTATATGAAAAATTATTTAATTCTTCTTGAACTTTAAAAATTTTAGCATCTTGCCCCCCTGAAAAAAATTTCTGGCTCCGCCTCTGCTAATGGCCCTCTATGCACTTGGGATAAAGAAACTCTTGCTGGATTTTTGTGGCATTGTGCAGCTGAACGGTAGCTCCCCGATTTGGGTTCTATTCTCATTTGCTTTCCATTTTCTTATTGCTTTTTTGTTACTTGTGTCTCTTTTTTACTGTTGTTATTATTGTTATTGTGACGATTAAAAGTGAACTTGTTGTAACAATATTAATAATGTAGTGGAATTATTTTAATGGATCAAAGGTGCCGTGGTTTTTTTTGTTCACTTTGAAGAGTTTTTCCACGTTAAAAATTGTGCCTCTTGTGTGTGTTTGTTTGATGTCTTAGCCATATTAATTTGTTAGCGTATTTTAGTTGCTATGATATCAATATTTGTGATTGAGTCGGCTGCCAATTAACACATTTAAGTAAATTGGGAAGGGAAAATGATTATGATTGAGAGATAATTGTTTTATATTGGTTTTTTATATAATTTTATATATTATTTAAATAATTAATTTTTTTTATTTATTTGAAATTTATAATATTAAATATATTTATTGATTTAATAATATGTAAAAATTTAAAAAAAAGTTATGTAAAAAATTATATCTATAATTGAAAATGATGTTTTTTAATAATAATTTTTTAATAATTGAAAGTTATATTAAATTTTAATTAATTTAAAATTATATCACATTAAATTTTATTAAAAAAATTTAATATTTTTTTTATTTACAAAATTTAAATTTAAAAGAGATACCTTTTGATTCTTCGTATAAGTGAGTGGTTAGAAAAAGTTTTGGGTTGATTTTGTTAAGGCAAAACCATAAGTTAACCCCCTGAACCAATCCCAGAATCGCTATTAAGCCCCTAGACTGTAATTGATGCATATAAGCCCTTGAACTCGGGGATCAAAGCAATTAAGCCCTTCTTCTTACGCCAACTTAACTACCGTTTGGGACTGCCGGCCTAACTTAACTGCCGTTGAGGACACACCCCGCTTGGCTGCTTGGATGGCAAAAAATTGCCATGTCATGCTTACATGGCAAGGGATTTAACATTTGACCTGAATTTTTGATTTATTTGATAATTTAATTTTTTTTATTTAATAAATATAAATAAAATAAAATCATAAATTTGGGTGA